TTTGTACGCAAATGTGTCACATGTATACGACATGCAGCGCAATGTAGACATCAACTCATGGGACAACTACCTGTAGCTCGGGTTACTCCAATTCGCCCATTTTATCAAAGCGGTGTGGATTATGCTGGACCCATCCAGATAAGGACTTCTAAGGGAAGAGGTCACCGAGCGTACAAGGGCTACATATGCCTATTCGTATGTATGGCTAAAAGAGCCATACATTTGGAAGCCGTAACCGATCTTACGTCACAGGGATTCCTCGCAGCCTTCAAAAGGTTTGTTTCTAGACGTGGCCATTGCGCTGACCTCTACAGCGATAATGGAACGAATTTTGTGGGCGCTGCGCGTGAGCTGAGGACTCTAGTAGTTCGAGAAAATTCAACCATGACCGAGAGAAATCGCTGAGAGTTTAGCTACCGTTGGAACCACCTGGGATTTTATCCCACCGAGAGCTCCTCACTTCGATGAACTTTGAGAGAGCGGGATAAAGTCCACAAAACATCACCTGAAGCGTGTCATAGGCACAGAGACCCTAACTTACGAGGAGATATCTACCCTGCTGTATCAAATTGAGGCATGCCTTAATTCCAGGCCCTTGTCACAGGTTAGCACCAATTCACAGGATCCAACACCTCACACCAGGACATTTTATCATAAGTGAACCCTTGGTGTTATTTCCAGATGCTAATTATGAAACTTCGTCAATATCTTCTCTGAAATGCTGACAATTAACACAGAAAATGTTACAGAACTTCTGGCGAAGGTGGTCTAGCGAATACTTGACTCAGTTTTTACAACGTCACCAGTGGGCAAATCAAACACCAGAACCCAAAATTGGGGACGTAGTTTTAGTTAAGGAAGATGATCTTCCTCCAGCAAAATGGCTTATGGGTATTATCACAGAAAAACACAAGGGTTTGGACAATATTACGCGGGTTGTGAGTCTCAAATGCAAGGATGTCATAATTAAAAGGCCTATTGTAAAATTGTGTGTCTTGCCAGTGGCAGAATAATGCCTACTTTTTTATTCTCTTTTATGTCAGTCAACGCCTGACAGGTTTATTGTTATTTATGTTTAAGAGTTGTGTTTTTTTTTTGTTTTTTTTTTTGTCAATTTGAGCATGTTGTAAACGTAAATCTTTAGTTTAAATATCTTTGAATTCTTCATTTAATAAGATTTTTAGGATTTTAAGGATTACTTATTTGTTTTTTTTTTTTTGTTGTCTATGCACCATGATTCAACCATTGGGATCTTTTATTTCTTGTTTTATCTTACCTATTTACAGTCCACTTTCTTTGATCGTTGATTCATGGTGGGCGGGAATAAAGACCATTCTGGCCATGGTGGGCGGAATGTCTAGTTGTTAAATAAATATCCTAATTGTTGTAGATTAAACTAATATCAACTCGTTGTAAACAGATAGTTTTATAGTTTCCAATACATTTAACACTGTACGCAGTACAATTATATTAGTTCTAAAAACTCTCAATAGATGGCGCTATCCCTTTGAGAATCGTGCAATCATTTGGTTTGTCCTTATCCATAAGGTAAAAATGTTATCGAAATACATCGTCAATTTTCGTCAAATGAATGTCGGTGTTTTATTCAGGTTGTGTGTTTGATCGAGCATTTTAGTACCTAAAAGTACCTACAAGTAGCACTTACCCATCAATGAGGCAAGTGTGACAGTACGCTCTTTTTGTAGTTACTTTATTATTATTTGTGGTTTTTAACAAAATTGATGAGATGATACTAACGTTGATATATTTTATGATCTATGGAAACGATTTGAATGTCCACTTTTTATGTACCAATTATTGTCTTCAACATGGGGCAAGTGTGACTGTTTTCAACCGATATAGTGGTGTGCCTTTAAATAGATTTACTTCACTAGCTCTGGATCTTTTGTAAGTATAATAAAAGCAATGCCAAGTGCAAAATAAAATTTGATTCAGAACGTTAATAATTCATAATAATATAATCATAATAAACGTGACACTGTTACACTTACCCCGATGTTAGGTATTAGGTGAGGTAAGTGTAACTACATCCGTATTTCAAAGAATGGTGAATTTCAGGTCGCAGAAACATATTACTCCATAAGTAGCAATACTATTCTTTATCACTCACCTTGTACCTAGTTTAAAATGACTTCACGACATATCGAAACACTTATAAACTTCACTTCTTAAAATTGCGTTGTCTGTCGCCAGTTGAGTAGTTTTTGAAATAACGTCTATTAATAAAATAGTTGAAGCTATATAATTAACTGCCAGATTAGTAAATAGCGTAAAATTTCCTGTGTTTTTAATAGATGGTATTAAACCAAAAACCGTGTTTAGGCCGCACAATTTGCATTTGTTACACTTGCCCCATTGTCACACTTGCCTCGGGTGACCCTACTTATGTTTTTATTTATATTTCATTTGTTTTGTTTTGTTTAGTTTTAAGATTAAGTCTGTTTACATTTACTTATACTTTCTTTTACCTTTTGTTTAATATATAGCTAAACTGTTAATAATTTTTGTTAAACAATATGTTATTTTTAATAATTGTTAAATTAAGTTTAAGCATATTTTTTCCTTGTTTTTTTTTTCTATTATTCTATTTCTTTTTTTATTTTCTCGCTGGTCTTGTTTGTTCCTTTACGGTACCGCTCTGCATTTTGATTTGTAATCGAGGGTAAATGTAGATGTCTGTGGGTCGCAGGAACCACATAAGTACCATTAGGTGGACTGTGTGCTCGTTTGTCACCCTATTCTATAAAAAACTTGATTATTAAAAATTATATTCACTTCAATATTAGTCAAAAATAAAATAAAAGAAGTAGATGCACTGAAACTTGTATTAACCTACACGAGAGGCTAATTAAAGTATATTGTTCCCCACATTCTAACGATGGCCCTATTAACATGGGTCAAGTATTTGCTGATATTTTTTGTTTGAACAACAGTCATTCCATGGTCTTGACTCGTACCTCTCTGGTAACTACCATCTGCCAAGAGACTGAAAGATGTAGAGTACCTAGAAAAAATATTAAGATAAGTTAGCCACATGTATTAATTGCAAATATACGATGTTTTTGCACGAGGTGTTAGTAGATAGACGCTTACTTTAGCCTCATAGAGTTCTTTACACAAATACAAAACACAATCTTTGAGCATCCGAAACTGACGTAAAAATTGGTTGTCGGGTAATTCCAGTAGTACTCCGATCACGTGTCGATCGCCGATATAAATTTCTTTCTTGTTTTTCAATTTCTCATATAAAAATTTAGTTGCAATAGGCTCCAGACATCTTTTTTTATTAAAATGGTGTGAAGATAAATTTAAACCCACGTCTACGAAAGAAGATAAAACTGTCCCTTTCAAATGTCAAAAAGGGATAATTTTTTCTCTCTTTCCTTTAGCCCCATGCCACGGATGGGGGATATATGTCCACTCGTTATGTCAAACGGGGATATACTATAGGAATAAGATAATTTTATCTCTTGTCAGTGGATATAATCGGGGGATATAATTTTTGTCTCCCGCCCATGCTCGCAGGGTGGATAAAACTGAGCAAGGAATAAAAAAATTATCCCCTCCCCGTAGATATAATGTTTCCTGCCCATGCTAGCCCGGCAGTATAACTTAGAGATGTTCTAGAAAAGATCGTACTCTTTTCTAAAAGGCCGGCAATGTACTGCAATTCCTCTGGTGTTGCGTATGTTCATGGGCACCGGTGATTATTTCCAACATTCACTAATGGAATATTCACTAGCAATATTACGATTTTTTTAAATAATAACTACAAATTTTCTCATGAACGTATTACATGACATACTTTCCGATACCATCCACACCATCTGGATGTTTGGTGGTCCACCGCTGTACGTTTCACTTGGAGTTTTCTTCAGCGTACGACCCCTCTGTGGAATAGTTTACCACCGGCGATTTTTCCGAACCGATACGACCTAGAGACCTTCAAGAAAAGAGCTTACTCATTTCTAAAAGGCCGGCAACGCACCTGCAATTCCCCTTGGTGTTGAAGTTGTTCATAGGCGGCGGTAGTCACTTAACATCAGGTGAACCATATGTCCGTTTGCTCTCTCTCCTGTATAAAAAAACCTACCCACCTACTAGAAAATTCATTAAAATAAAACGGTAATTTCGAAGCACAAAAATGTGCTTTGTTACATATTTTGTGGAAATGAATTGCGGTGTGAATATTTTAAAAATAGCAGCTAAAATAAAAGTATACTCGGACGGATTACATTCTTTTTATAAACGTAAAGAGTTATAAAGCGGATTTATAAACGGTAGCAGTTTAAAAAAATTTGCATTAATATTTCATCTCATTAAGCTTCATGATTCAAATTGTTTTATTACGAATTTTTGGGGTTAAGAATTTCAACATAAATTGTTATACTTTTTCGTGAATAAATGTGTCCTTTTACTGATTAAATTAGCTATTTTATTACTGATATTGTACAACTGCTTTCACAATAATTTTGAATGATGCCCGTGTACTGACGGCACATGAGTTTCATCACCTCATTTCGTGTCATGGCTTCCAATATATGGCGCTATAAAATATCTTCTACGCCAGACGAAAGGCAGGGAGCAGCAACATACGTGCGAGAACTCTGTTAATACGATCGCCAATATGACTGGTAAACGCAGATATTACAGCAAATACTCTTAAATACTCCCTTACCTCTGGACCGCGAAAGCGAACAGACGTGTTCTCCGTGATTGTGTTGTTTTTATAAATAAAATAATTCTTCAAAAATATACTTAAAATCCGTATGTGTACCAGGGCAACATACTTGTAACGTAGTACCATCCTGCTTCATTGAAGAGGTAAGCCACGCCCTTTGTATATTGCCAGCGTGCATATATTTGCTGCATAATTTTTGGCTTCACCCACCGCTTTTGCTTAAAAAGCGCCTGCTATTATAAAATAGCTAATCTGCAGAAAATTATTGCTTTGCTCAACATATTATTTAAAAATCAACATGAATCGTTCACCGAATAAAGCAGTATCAGACTCCGATATCTCCAAACTACCAAGAACCCCTTCTTCGCTTGCGGTTTCAAGACAAAAAAGACATCACGATGAACTCACAAGAGATGAAGGAAGATCGTTCAAGGAAGAAGTTATGCAAATGCTGAAGTCATGGAAAGCTGAACGTGACAACAAACTAACATGGAAAATAGTCTTACAAATATCAAGAAGATAAATCTCTTCACCCTGCTATTGAAAATTTGGGCTACTAATAGCAATATTTCGTTTCACAATCAGATACAAAAATTCAGACAAAAATCACACACTTTGTCGGCAATTAGGTACAAATGTCGATATACGCGCATGCTCGTATGCGTGTCGTATATATTTTAACGTGTTCGCGTCAGCCCACGTAATCGCAAGCAATACACGCGAACACAAAGTAAAGAGAATTTTATATTTCGTACTATTTTCAATAATCTTTTAGTCGTAATTTAGTTGATTATTAATCTATTGCTCATGCATTTTACTACATTGCTCAATGTTTGCTGAAAATATTGCGCTGCTCGTGATTATCGTTATGATTAGCAGACAGTATTTTAATAAAAGCCACTTTTACTCTCGCCATTAAAACATCCAACTGTAAACAAAAGGAAAACCAAACGCTGGCAAATTATTCCACATGCTACAGATGCAATGATTACACATTACGAAAGACGAAGCAAACCGTTTGGTTTCAACGCGTAGAAAATCGACAACATTGGGTGGAATTTAATCACTTAACCCGTGTGCACCTTATAAGGACTTTATCATACAAAATACCGAGAGGCTGGCAACTCTGCGCCAGTGCTCGTGACTGACAACGTTGCCTACTTACTCTGTCCAATGCTCTAAGTGGTATTTTGTAGTACATACCAGCCTATATGTTATAGACAACAGTACTCCATTGAAATAATACCAGTTTTTAGACTTACACTCATGACGCGGGACCGCCGCAGTTACTCGGGTTTTAAGTTATATATGCGTAAATTCCGATTTTTCATGTTGTGTTCGCGTAATATAGAAATCATTATGTAAAACAGTACTCATGCAAAACCGACTTGAGGCGCTGAGGATTAAGACCCCCCTTGGACCGCCGTCGTGACCAATATTTGAAACATTCAAATGCATGATCAAATTAAACCAAATTCTTATTGCTTGAAAACCAAAAAGGCAACAAATTACCAGTATTAATTAATGTAATTTTTGGTTTATGAACAAAATCATCACAACTCACATAGTAACTGTAGCTGTAGGTACCAAAATTATTAACTTTTATAAACTAGTTATTATTGTTTATTTAAGTATATAAATAATATTGTTTATTATTATTTATATACTTAAATATATAAATATATATAGATAAGTATATAAATATATTGCAGACTGTTTTTGATAATGATAGTGATGTTGTGACTGATGACTTTGCACTGGAGGCACTTCACACTTGATTTATTATTCGAGATGATTTGTTTTTTCTTGCCTCTCTGGCATGTCTTCCGAATTTGTTTGTCTTTGTAAAATGTATATATGTAAACTGCTCTCAAGATACAAAAGATAATTTTAGGGTGAAAGTAATGGTTTTATAAGAAGATACATATAATTTTAGCACAAACGTACTGTATAATTCCTGTTTGCAGTCTTCACTGACATTTCCCTGCGAGCTCAGGATCAAACTTGCAGGTTAGACAAAAATGGGACAGTGGCGCTTCTAATGTTAAGGACAGTAAGCTGTTCAGGCGTGAAATTTCACTGCATCTTTGCAAGGACACCTACTTCTTTTACGGTTGCTTTGGAATTGGACCTAATGAACTGCCCAAAGTTGAAAGTTAAACAATTCACTATTTTATTATTAAACCATATAATTTACCAATTTATGTATATGATTATATCGCAAATCAGGTTAATCAGCGAATGTTAAACCGCAAACTGCATACAGTACCTAAAATAGGAAAACATATCTATTGTAGATGGGGCTCACAAAAGTAAATGACCTAGTTAATTTGTAATTCTGACGTTAATGTCGAATAGAAGAAATACCCGTGAAGTTTCATTTACCGGTATTCTCCGGTTAAAGGAACCTCATTTCGAAATGGTAGTAGAATTGAAAAAAATATTACATTTGACAAATAAAATTTAATTCTATTACGTCGTAGAAATATGTTTAAAGTTATTTCATTACATATATGAAACTTTATATCTTAATATTAATATGAAAATTCATATTATATATCCTCAAGATATCACAACCTAAAAAAGTTGCAAGCTTATCACTCATTAATAAATAATAACCCGTTACAAACTCACTGCATGAACTCATACTGGAGAAACTCAGTAATTGCTTTGAAATCTACAGAGAGGTGTACTTCACGGCTCTCTCTGCCTTACAAAACCCGAAAAAGACACCGTGGTATACTTGTGTAATCGGCATAGGCCAACCAATCAGTATTCTACAACTAATTGTTTTTTTTATGCTTGTCAGTTAATTTAAAGTCAATATTTAAATCAAGAATCGAAATTTCACATTCGGTGAATTGTAACCGCAAGTAGAAAGTACATTATATCTCTTCATTCTATCCATGTATGTTTCGGTCAGAATATGTTAATTTATTTTAAATGTATGACCTATAAAATTACGTGGCACGTAGGTTTCAACGAATAGCATATTTTATCAATTTGGCCGATAAAAGCTATCATCTACACCTGAGAGCTATTTTACGTTCCGCTCGAAAATAAGTGCCGTTACATTTCATACGAATTTCAATTTGATTTAAGCATATAGTGTGCAAATACAATGTTTCAAATTATTAAAAAAATACCTAATTTGAATTACGAAATTTATTTTTATATTCATCATCATATATAAGTAACTATAATTTTATAAAGCAATATTTTAAAAATAAGTGTACGAAAGTTTGGATGATTGAGTAAGAGGAGTTTTCATTTATTCATTGCGTCTTGTGATAGATCCGCGGTTGTGCTGCGCCTGATTCCTTGTCTCATCATAACTAACAATACGAATCTAAGCTCAGTACACCTAGTTCTACTCGGCGACGAGTTCCAATCGTGGTTACCAAAGTTCACCTTCAGGTCACTCTATCAAGTCCGGAGGTAAGGACTCATCATAACTAACAAAACTAGTATCCGGAGTTGGCACCGGTTTTAAGGCGTATTTTCCTGTACTCCTACTCCATTGGCGTAGTCCCGAAATCATAAAAGACAGCCTCCGTGCACCCGATCCCTGAAAAAGAAACCGCTCTGATCTGTCCAACTATAGGCCTATCACCATCACCTTGTTATTGTTCTCTAAAATAATGGAATCCATTATTAACAGTCAGCTAATGCCATACCTTGGGGATCACCAGATGATTAGTGACTGCCAGTACAATTTCCGTCGCGATCGCTTGGCTGGTGATGGAGTTACCTAACTCATAAATGCACTGAGGTAGTAGAGTACAAGGGGGAGGCATTGGCCGTTAGTTTGAACATAGCGAAGGCCTTCGATCGGGTTTGACGCAAAGCGCTTCCAACGAAGCTTCCTTCCTATGGGCTTCCCGAGAAATCGTGCAATCGGATCACTACTTTTCTTACAGTTCGGAGTATCAAGGTCACGGTAGCAGACGGTGCATGCTCCAAATACATACGCATTAACGCTGGTGTTCCACAAAGGTGTTATATATCATATCAATGACATGTTGCAAACCTGCAACATTAATTTCTATGCAGACAAAAGCACTGGTTATGCTTTATACACAGGCGTGCCAATATTTCTCGGGAAAACTTCACCGAGTACCGGGACAAATCCGGGGGATGGGAAAACCGTTTATACGTGGTAGAGCCATGCTGCAGCTATATTAATTGTATAGTTGTAGCACGAATTGGTCGGCTCAACCGGGGACGGACCACGCTCTCACAGAATACCAGCGTCAAATAGCAGGTTAATGCCGCTGTGTTTCGTATAGTGAGTGTAGAGAATCAGAGACCCTTTTTACTGGAAAAGAGGCATTCCATCTTAGTCCCTAAAGTTGACAACGCATCTTCATTTTGATTCGCAAACGAGGATGGATGTAGATGTCTATGGGCCACAGCAACAACCACTTACCATCAGGTGGACTGTGTGCTCGCTTGTCACCCTTTTCATATAAAAAACCCTTGTTCATGGGTGGCGACAATCACTTATCATCAGGTGAGCAGTATGTTCGTTTGCCCCTATCGTATAAAAAAAGAACCAGAGTGACCGACAAAGCCCAACGGATTAGAAAGCTGAAGTGGCAATGTGCCGGCCGTATAGCTCCAAGAACCGACAACCGATGAGGAATAAAGTTTCCCGAGAGGTAGCCTCGTATTGATAGGCTAAGTGTAGGTCAAGCCCCACTGGATAGAGTGACGACCTGGTAAGACATGCAGGAAGTCGATGGATATAAGTGGCTCAAGACCGTACTTTGTGGCATTCCTAAGGGAAGGCCTATGTTCAGCAGTATACCTGTAAAGGGCTGCAACAATGTTGATGAATTAGTGTAAAAGAAGAGGATTTGAACTTATAATCATTCAAAAGATACTGATATCGTTGATATGCACAAAAAAGCATATGATGTGCGCATTTTTTAAGAAAGGTAATATATAATGAACATACCAAACATCATTTTTCCACACAAACGATGTAACCAATTTAATAATTTTATCACCCTCACGGCTTAAGATCGATGATGACTTAAGATCTCTTAGCCATGCCTCCACGGAAAAATATTGCGAAAACAGTTAGACTCTAAGTAATGATTAGCGTTGTTTTCACAAAATTGCACGATTTTCGACAATATTCGATATTGGTGTTAGATATAATTAAAAATCGATTTTTTTACAGAAAATAACGTCGTGTTCTTTATCACAACACATCATACAGTAAATGCAATGGTTTGCAGTATCAAATCATTTTACCGTTTCGTCATACTTTTGTAGCAGTGTTCCCACGGTCACAGCCCTATTAATTATTTGATGCTCCCAAACAGTACACAGATTGATTAAAAGATTATATTTCAATATTATATAATAAACATTTCAACATTGTCATTTCTCAAGCGTAAGTCCTTTTTAATAAGTAAAGGTGGTGTCTTGAAATCTGATTTGCAAGCATAATGATGACCTGAGGTTTGAATATTACTGTCGAATACCTACATAGGCAATTGAAGAGGTTGATGA